ATGAGATTGCTAACACCACAGCCATAACATCTTCGTGCATTGATTTTGCTAATGCTTGAACTTCCACGATTCAAGTCATTCCAATTTCTGTTGTTTGCTTACCTAATGTGATTTGCGTATACTTGTAAAGAGCAATAACCCTATCCTCCTAAAATACGCCCGGCTGAAGTTACATAAAAAGGTTCTTCAAAGGTTTAGTAATAATACAGGATCCTAATATGCATGTTTTTCAGAACTGAAATGGAGATGATTCAAACAGTATTACTGCAGTAAAAAGCCCTCGCTTAAGTCAGGGAACAGATTGATACTTCAAATAGAAACAAGACTAAATTTAGGTTATCTCAAATTGAACTAAATATTATAAAGTTTCAGATATCATACCGAAAACAAGTCTCTATTTATTTAAATTGAGTGATGTTCGTTTTGGTCATTTTAAAACATATTTTATTGTCAAACCTCTTTTTTCAATTTACAACAACAAAAATTACGAAATTGTCGGGGAATTTAAGAAGTAACGAGAGTAATGATTCCACAACCATAGCGAGGCCCAGCATTGCCTGTAATACGACTCTCCGTATTATTTCCAAGGCCCAAATCATCACGGTTAGCATGAACGACAATTGCTCTTCCAACGATACTGTTATTTCCTCTCAATGAGATTTGCATATCTGTGATGTTGACCACCGCTATCGAATTATTCTGAATAAGAATCAATGTATAATCAGAAGTTGACTCGTAAGAGTATCATTACAAAAACTGCTTGGAAATGACAACTTTTTGAGTTTTTTAAACAGTAAGAAACTGGAAAATTGTAACAATCATTATCTTGTTGTCAAAAGCACAATTTCTTAATTGAGCCCGTAATTTAGATAAAATTTTTGAACTAAATTGTCAATTTTCAACGCACCATGGCCACAATATTTCCGAGATCGCCAACATGTCGTACTGTAGCATTAGGAGCTCCATGATCCATATTGGTAGGGTTGAAGTGACCCCCAGCAGCCGAACAATTCATAGATAGATTTCCAATTGTGTGCACATGAAAACCGTGTTCTCCTGCTGTAAGGTTAGTGATCATGCCGCTCACCTAAATGTCGAATTATCAGCTGAATAGTGCAAGTGCAATTTCAGATAACCTACCATGACTACATTGCCCGTTTGGTTAAAGGTGATGTTTCCAATAGGTGTGGTAGGAGTACCTGAA